TTGATTTCCTCCTATACATTTGATACTATAAGAAGAGACATTGGCTGAAAAACAATGTTAAAGCTGTGAAAGCCCTGCTTACCAAGCAAAATCTAGAATATGAATAAAAAAATACAAATGATAATTTGAACCTTGCAGTGCTTGAAATATTTATATATCAGTGTGAATATAATATATAGTCAATGATATTACCTGTTGCACTCTTTATGTGCATATATTTGTATGATAATTTACTTGGTTTACAGCATTTTAGTCACTGAGCCTTGTATGTCATTTTCATCTTGGAGAAAATTATCTTTGATCTGTTATTTCCAAATGATTTTTTGTTTAATTTGAAAGGATTAATCTACAGGAAAAAGGTTCATGCTCAGAACTTTAACAGTACATTTCTTTAATCCCAAACTGCTATAAATAAATATATAAATGCTTTTGTAATTCTATTGCTTATAGCTTTGTTTATTAAAGTTTTATGAGACACGTACTTATTAACCCTTTTAATGACATTTTCTTGCAGAACTTCCATCGAGTAGAGGGGACCTTGAAACAAGTGTCCTGCCAAAAATTTAAACATACATAACCAGCTCTCATTGTCCCAGCCTTAGAAATAATGAATGTTGTGTAATTAGGTTGTTTGTTGAAGAAATGCAAGAACATCATAATTGTAAAACATTTTCCTTCTGTTTATTTGGAAGATGATGATTTTAAAACATTTTGCTTTTTCCCTGCCATGTAAAATAAAGAATTTTTTTCTATTAGCAGTGATATTCAGTACAATTTTTTTGTAGACTTTCAGAACTCTGTAGACATTGATTAGCTTTAGTACATACTATTTTATTTGTACAATTATTATTCAAGTATCAGATTAAGATACTCAACTGGTAAAAGTTGTCTTTCTCTTGAAAAATCCTTGTAAATGCAACTTTTGACTCTTACGCTTGACAGTTTTTGATATTGGCTTTATGATTAACAGTAATGTTTTATTTCACAGCATGACAAAAAAAAGTAGTTAATGCTTGAAATATATATTAACCTTTTCCATACTGGTACAGTAAATTTATGTACACAAATGCTCCTGAAGATTGCACAGTGAAGTCTTTTAAAGACTATTGTCTATTAAAAACTCAATATTTTGGCCTTGGTTTTCATGTCTTAAGATCTGACATGATATTCTATAATTTCCACAAATTACTTAAAGTATTGCATTCCTGGATCCAAAGTAAATGTGCTCTTACTAATTAATACATCATTGGGTTCCACTGAGATATCTAAATAATTATGAATGGTGTTGTCAGCATAGATTCTTTATTGGAATGTTTGCAGCTGCTTTGGTGGATGTGAATGAGAAAATTATAAAGTAATCAAACTAGAAACAGGTAATATACCTACTTAGATGATACAAGTAATCGATATAGTTTAGTTGTGCAATTTAACTTATTTTGTTACATATCTTTATTTTCAGTGGAATAAGTTTGATAAGGGTTTTTATTATGTTGTTATTTTTTTCTGTTCAATTGCCTGCTTATATAATCTGGCTTTTCTCCCTTTTTTTTTGCAAAAACTATAGATATAACTTGGGATTATCACAAGATGGAACATGAAATCAGACTAAAATTACAAATTCTTGCTTTGTTTAATTAGTATATCTCTTAACAGTCTTGGACTTGAGTATGTTTACATATATACTTGCTTTTATATGAATATCTTAACTCAAACACTAAACAATGCTCATGTATGAATAAATCATTTTAGTTTAGGACTTGTCAGTCTTGAACTAATCCTAGGTATCTAAAACACTTAAGTGTTGGAGTTCATATTGATAACTTAAACACCATAATTTGGATTTACATGTTTTGATTTTAACCCAGATTTCTCCCAGATCACATTTCTCCAATTGCATCTCTATTCTGTTAAATACCTATTGCTATTTTGGTTACATTTTCAGTTCTGAATCCTAAAGTGATGCATTCTCCAGAAACCAGTCTTGTGCTTATACTTGATAAAAAAAAATGTATGCAATCACTACATATATGCTTTACTTTGCTCTCCTGAACTGTATTTTAACATAGATTTTTTATATTTTAAAGACTCTAAGTAATGTATTATTGCTTAACACTCTTTTGTCTTTGATTTCTTGTAACTTTTACAAACATATTTTACACTTAAAGTATTACATTTCCTGGTTCCAAACACTTACCTTACATAGTGCACTTTTGTTTTTCATAGAGGTACTTTAGCATATGTGCTGTATTTGAACTCTAATATCATAATCATATTCGAATTTGCTCATGGATGATATTATGAAGAGTTCGTGTAGGTTAACCAAATGGTAAACTTTACTGATTTAATACTTATTGTTGTCCTGTGATCTTTCAGAGATTGTAAAACGCTAGTGTTTAATAGATACTTGCAGGAAACAATACTGGGAAACTGTCCTAATGCTAATACTTAGTAGAGCTTAATGTTACCATGATGTGTCACACAACAGTTATTTATTTAGTGTAACATACCCGGATTAAGCCTACATGATGTGGAAACAAAAAGCAGGTAATACAGGTAATGGAAATGATAGTGTAACATTGTTCTGTTAGACACTGGGAATGCCGTAGCTGTGCAATTTACAACTTTGAAGCAATAAATGCTTTTCATTAGGAGAAAAACTTGTTTTCACAATAGATATGAAGTTTTAACTATGAACCCTCCTGCGGCAAAGAGATCAAATAGATGTATATAGTAAATAACTTTTTTTGATTATTTTAAGTATGTATGTTGTGTATGAAAAAAAAGCAATGATGGATTCTTAATTATTATAAGACACTGAATAAAAACACACTCATGCTAGTGAAAAATATGGTCTAAAATTGTGGATTCATACTGTACACGTGTTAGTAAATAAAGGGTTCAAAAGATTCACCAAGATTTACGTGTGATCCAAACCTGCTTGCATACGCATTATGTATAGATGAAATGTTGATAGGGGATGATTTAGTTAGTTTAACCATTGATAACTTATGGTAAGTGTTGCCATATATGACATTACAAAAAAAAAGCAAACAAAGAATGATAAATAGAACTGGTATGACGATGTCTTTTCTCCGACCTTTCAGTCTAGTGTTAGAAAAGAATTGTTTCTTCGAGCTATAATGTTTTAGAATTAGAATGTTATTTCTTCTCCATGTTATGTTAGGTTATTCTTTTATATTGAAATGTAGTTATGTTATGGTTTGTCATGTAAATCAACTTGATATCTGTTTTCATAATTATGGGAAATAGTACGATGATTAAATGAAAATATTGAAATAAAAGGCTTACATTGTATTGGAGAGAAAAGTGGAATGTTTATATACACTTATATTTAATTACTGGTTTTATATACCAATCTACTAGTTTTTTTTGTCAACTTTGGTTAGTTGGGTTTATTTCAAAACCGAATCTTTACTTTAATAGAGATTTGGCAGTTTCAATTTTCATTGTCACACCGATCCTCAAAGTGCTGCATTATTTTGTTAAATTGTAATATAATGCTGCCAATAAAATATAAAAACTTGAATCATTTCATTTCTTGGGTGTCTCTTAATTAGAATTGTTTTTGTTTGCATTGAATGATATGAATTAAGTTTATTCACTGGCAGCAACCAAGTTAACTTGATTTTTTATTTTATTTTAACAGTCTCACTTGGAAACCTTAAAATTTTACAAGCCACATGAAAGAAAACCTTTTGCCAATTTACTTTGGCAAGAATTTCTATGAAATAAAAATACTCCTGTAATTACTGTTATTAAATATAATGCAATGATGTGAAAGTAATGAAAAGCATGATTTTTTTTTTCATTACCATAGGTGTCATATTGAAATTTTACGAATGTATTTCGTTTTTCCCATTTTGTTTAAAAAAAAAAAAAAAGATACTCTAAGTTTACTTAGCCTTTCTTTGGTATTCAAAGATTTCTATGCAATTCTTGAATTTCTAAAATTAAAGTATGCCTCTTGTAGGTTTTAAAAGTATGTTAAGTGTTTATTGCTGGATCGTATCATATCACTGCCATCATGCATGACTGTTGTACGTAATAATAAAGAATTGATCTAAACCTTGTTGGCTAAATCTCTGGTTATTACTTATTTTGTTTGCTATGAGTGTGAAGCCTGTTCTATCTCATCCAAACCTGCTCTAGCTTGTACAAGGTACTAGTGTTACTGTATATAGGATGGTTGTAATTTATTTACTACTAGAAACGTGTATTGCAGTTTTTATCTATCTCATCCAAACCTGCTCTAGCTTGTACAAGGTACTAGTGTTACTGCATATAGGATGGTTGTAATTTATTTACTACTAGAAACGTCTATTGCAGTTTTTATCTATCTCATCCAAACCTGCTCTAGCTTGTACAAGGTACTAGTGTTACTGCATATAGGATGGTTGTAATTTATTTACTACTAGAAACGTGTATTGCAGGTTTATAAATGTTTCAATAGTCGGTTAAAATTTACAAAGAAACGCTCAAAATTTAATTGCCTAATATATTCTAATGGACATTCATTGTATAAAGTTTAATGGAAATATATTCTATGACATTCAAGATAGTACATAGAGATTTATCACTTAAGCAGCTAGATAAGACCTTGGTTTGAGCTGGAAAAACTTTACATAGTGATACACGGCGTTAGACTCATCCTAAATTGTCCATTTTTTGTAAAAGTAATGAATTAAATTCTCAGTAAATGACAACATTTCGGAAAAGTAGCATAGCTTGATACTGAACTTTACGAAGTCAACATTGACATTTTGGGATAAGTAGATGAATGTCACTTAAAGTGACATTCATTGTAGTGGAGTTACAAGAGCTAAAAATGCTTTGATTGTTTTTATGTTTTTTGTTAAAAGATAAATTCGTGATTGTTTTATTCCGTCTATTAGATTTATAGTATGCTATAAAATGTTCGAAGATTAATTAGAGATAATGTTTGCTTTAATTATGTAAACTTTGCATGTTATGCAGTAAGATGACATTTCTGAAGTCATTTCATGAAGAAAGAGTAAGCGTTAGTTCAGCTACGTAGTAAAAGAAAAATCACTGTATATAACATGAAAATCTTGTCCTCGAGTAGGTTTTGTTATTGTGAAATGGCTATAATGAAAATTTGTAATTCATGAAATTAGTTGGAATAAAATATAAAACTTTGTGAAGTTGTTTTTCATTTGAAACATAATGGAAAATACAAATGTGATTAATTTTTTATGCTTCTTTGGTTATAAACAAAACAGACATAAAATGGAATGTCAACTTTCTCAAACACACAGTGCGATCAAATGTATTGAAGGACATATAAAACAGATTTTAACAATAAAATATGTAGTTCTACAGTATAAAACTTTGTTTTGATTACTTGTGCCACGTGGTACTTAAACCCCATATTAAAAAATAAAAAGTTCACCAATTCTGAACGGGACTTTAAATAATCTTTTTTTTAGTGTCGTAACTTTTTTGTGGGGGGTGGGTGGTAGTTTCTGTAGCTGGGGTATGCAAGAGGGTATTCTATCAAAAAAAAAAAGATTCTATTGTTGAAAAAGTGCGGGGGACATGACCCCTATGAAAATTACGCGTATAATCTACATTCTACATCATCCGCGTTTCCGAGGTAAACACACTACCAAGGCATTAATGTTGTATCCCTGTTAAATGAATACGAAATCATGCAACATTTGAATGATGATAAAAAATTACACCTTTAATCATCGTTACTTTAAAAACTGGACACTTTGAGGGAGGTGAGTAGGGTATTGCACTTCGCAACAGGGCATACCCGCGGTTTCACCACACTATTAACAACATGAGGTTGTAGGATATTATCGTCAAAACTCTTCTGCTTTCACGATTTTAAATTTACGCCCTAAATTAATACCAATTATAAGTTGTGAACTTCTATAAAGTTTTCATCTAGGCATGCCCCAAAGTTTTATTCACTTTGACGCATGCTATTTATTGGAAATAAAGATACATAATTATTCTATCAGAATATTGATCAAACTGCAATTTCCAGTAATTTAACTGATCATCTTTAGTAATTATTGCAGTCCGTAAATCAGTAGTTTGAAAAAAAAAATATATTAACGGGGGTTTTGCATCCAGGCAATTGGTTATACCCCAGAATAAACGTATTAAACACGAACATACTTCGTATGACTTGTAAGCAATTCAGCCATCTAGAAAGTACACTATGTTTAAAATCACAAACTCAGTTTCAAGAACATGGCAATATTTTCTCGTATGACAATAAACGAAAACCACATTGTCCTATTATCTCTTCACCTTCAAACAATGCTTCAGAGTGGAGAGCGATAAGATACACCTGCGTAAGCTATTGTCCCATAAAATGTTATAGTCTCTCTGAAAAATAATTAATTGTTATTTAAACATGATATCTGTCCTTGACTGTAGACTTCTAATGACTGCTACTGCCTTAAAAGTTTTGAACGATATTTCGAGCTGCAGGTGTGATTTACGATGTCTCCAGTTACAAACTTAAGAAATTCACAAAGTCATGGTTGAGTTGTTAAAAGGGATCAAAATAGAGCCTTAAAGTGACTATACATAAAACTTTTCCATAGTTTAGAAAAAAAAGGTAATCGACGTAATAAAATATAATGAAAAGCTTGTTAGTAAAGTCTTAGCTTTAAGACAATTGCCCATCAATCCAGTTTGAAGGTGTCGCATACAAAGTATCTCGTTTCTAGCCTTTTATGTTTGATAAATACAGTATCTACGTTATTTATATTAAGATAAATGAAAGTCATGACCTTACTGAAAGAGGAAGATTATAGGGATCACCAATCTGTGGATGCTGTTTTTTTTGTATAACCCACAAAGGCAAGAACAACAATTCTACACATATATATCATTTGAAATTTATTCATAAATTGGTCCCCTAGTGGGTCAGTAAGTTTATAGATTTACAATTTTAAAATTTAGTGTTTGATTCTACGTGATTATGAAAGCGCGGATAGCCTATTGCGTAGCTTGGCGTCAAAACTCAAAGAAACAAATAAAAAAGATCACCAATTGTTTTGTCAATTTTTAAGTAATTTAATGAATAAAAACCTACTTCTAAAAATGACAAGGCAGACATGATAATTCTAAATGTTAGAAAAGCTTTTACATTAATAAAAAGTCAAATTGATTACCATGCATAAATGTGTAGGCGCTTTGATAAGCACGAAAAGTGGCTTTCGATCATCCTCTTGTTAAAACATTTACATCCTTTTGACACAATCTGAATAATGTCGAGATACAGTTAAGACCATGCGGAACTCGTTAAAGGTTGCCCGACGTTTCATTTCATCCTACTTGTTTGTATTCACAGTGTACTTCCTAATCTTTGTGAACACCTTGTGATTTGGAGTAGATACCGTTTACGTAAGTCCTAACGATCTCATAATGTTTATGGCCTTGTAATACAAGTTTGTGCTATGTTATAAATCAAATGATTTCAAACTTACAAACTCCATGAAACACTGTTTGTAGCATTATTAGGACAAATCTAATGGAGATTTAAAATTTCACGACGGAATTCGATTGATTCGCTTTCTGTTTCTGCGCAGAAAAAAAAAACAACAGAAAAAATTATACAATTTTCGTTATTTCAAGAGAGAAGCTGATACTGTACTTGGCAGGTGACTACCAGATAACTACGTTGTTATTTGTTTAATGCTAGGAAGCCTACACAACCCCGGAGATTCAACAAAAGCTCTAGTGGTGCTGTAGGTATTTTTACTAATTCTAGTCAGTATGCCTAATACACCATGAATTGCACAAAATCGACTTTTCAAGCCAGGTCTGTCTCATCGTATGTCAGGAACGGTTGTTGTGAGTACATCAAATGGAAGTAGTAGGCGATTAGACTTAGCACATTTGATTTGAGACAACGTGTATCAAATAATTTTATTTATCAATGGACTTGGGTCTTTTTGTGGGTTGAAAGCCACCTTACTTTCTATGTTTATGTAATAATATCTTATTTCTAGTGCGAAAAATTTCGCGTACAATCAAATTGCACACTCATGGTTTAATGATAAACATACATAGAAAATTAATAATAACCCATCTCGTAGAGTTAGAAGAAAGCAGCTAAGCCTAGCTTAACGAAAAATAAGTTATTTGAAGCTCTTTAAATTCACAGAATATATTATGATAAACGAGGAATATGAAAGATGCCGTTTTAAATACAATAAACATTTTCTCAACTGATAATCCAGGAACAACTAGACAATAGTATTTACCTATAAGACTTACATTATACTTCAACAAATGCACATGAAATACTAACGTAATTTCTCGAAAATTTCATTTGTAAGATCTATCCCTTACTTTAGATATAACTATGTTGAGTTAACATAATACTCTTTCGTAGAAACACAAATTTAGACTTTTTGATGAAGCTTGAGGTGTAATTATTACTAAACTTATCTTTCAATTTATAGTTAGCATAAGCAATCATTTCATCGTTCATAATCCGTGATCCGATCTTTAAATGTCTTTTTCTTGATGCTTCACATGCTTCTACTCAAAGGTTATTCAAATAACAACAAATGTTTAAAGGAACCCACTCAGTCTGGTTTGGCACGACAGAGATAGTTAACTGTCTGGTGAGAACGACAACATACGCATTTATACATACACATACATACACATTATATATAATATTTTTATATTTTCAGAGTCAGGTAAGTATTATATGTAATGTTCTCATTTGTACTAAACGATTACACTTTATGCATGGAAAGAGTTTTCGGAATATATTAGTATCCTTCTGTTTTGTATTATATAAGTTTGTTTGGAATTAAGCACAAAGCTACACAATGGGCTATCTGTGCTCTGCCCACCACGGGTATCGAAACCCGGTTTCTAGCGTTGTAAGTCCTCAGACATACCGCTGTGCCACTGGGGGGCGTATCACATAAGAGTTTTAGCATTTTCATTTAAAATAATGGTCTGAAAGTAAACTATTTGAAATAGAAATGTGTTTTTGTCTTTGTTTTTCTTAGGGTAAGACCCTCAGTTTTAAATATAGAATCATTTAAGAGCAAGTATTACAACTTCATAAATTATTATCTATAAGCATACCAGTTGTCAAAATTTATTTCTGTACCCTTACATCATTGAAAAGATATTGTGTTGAAGTTTTAGAGTCTGTGTGGATGCTTGAGTTTGTAGGAGGTCTTTTTATTAGATGTCTCACATATATTTGCTGTTGTTGCTATAGAAACGAACAGAAATACTGCAAGGAGTTTCGAATGGAATCTTTAGAATTTCAGGAAAAAAATTTTGAAAATATCTGAACAAATTATCTGGTGAATGAAATCTACCCCAGACAACTGAAAGCTTGTAAAAACATTCACACCGTTCAGCAGAAAACTGCAACTCAGTATATATTTTTTAATTTTCATTAATTTGTTCATTTATATACTATTTTTTTTTCTTTTGCTTTTTATGTGTAATTATTAATGGAAATTTCTGGTGTGTTAGATGTCGTGCTTGTCCTTAAGAATCTTAGTTATTGGTAATCTACACTTATATCTCTTGAGGAAATTATTAACATAAGACTAACATGTTCATATATGTAACCATTTACATAATGGCAAAATTTCATTTCAAAAACATTTGGGCGTTTCAAAATGTCAAGAATATCAAGTTATTCACTCAGTATTAGACAGAATACGATAGACGTTAGTCAGAAATGTTCCTAGTTCTTCTGCCAAGATCACAATTTTTGTTTATCTTTCGAAACTTTTATAATATATTTTTAATTCAAACTGTATTTATGAAACCAAAAATATGATGACACAATTGAAAGACAGAAAAACCGTGAGAAAAACTCGTTTGATTTCTTTGTCATTTTGGTTTAAATAAAGTTTGTTTAAAATACTATAAGAATTAATTCATATCGGTCTGTTTAAGTACAAAGCTACACAATGGGCTATCTGTGCTGTGCCCACTACGGGTATCGAAACCCGGTTTCTAGCGTTGTAAGTCCGCAGACATACCGCTGTGCCACTGGGGGTCCGCTGCGTTGATCATATTCGGTTCTCAAAAAAAAAATGCATCCGTATGTCCGTCGTTATCAACGGATACGGATCATTTTTGGCAGGACAATGAGGAATAATATTCTACACATGTTCACCAAGT